TTTTTTTTTTTAAAAGTTTGACTTTCTTATATCTCAAATTCAGAAGTTTCACTGCCCTTAAGTGTAGTAATAATGTCAGAGCTTTAAAAGTGCATTTTCTTTTATGATAAAGTCAAATTTTCCAATTGCACAGTCACTTAAAACTTGATAGTGCTTTGAGTTGGAAACATATTATGACAAGCCTGGGATTCTAAGTACTTAGAATATGAGTGTGGGTATCAGCCAAGCTTATGCTGATTAAAGAAGATTCAGCATTTTCAAATCCAGCTCATCCCCACATACAAGTTAAGCATCTCCATAAAGCAAAACTTTCACTCAGAGCAACATATTTCAAATGTCATTTCATTTTAATACAAACTGATGGTGCAGAAGATGATTTAATTGTCAATACGATTTGGAGATGGGTGCAAGAGAATTATAACTCTTCCCGTTTCCAGATGGTTTCTATTAGGATGGACACAGAGACTTCTATACTGATAGAGGGGGTAAAAAAATAAAATAAAGTAAGGGAGGGAGACCCATCATTCTAAAGATGGTGAGAAGATGAAAAGATAATAAAAAAGAGAAGTATTCAGGCAACTTAGGCATTTTTGAAAAGTAAGTTACTACATGAACTAACCTTTTCTGTCCGGCAGTTATTGAGACCTAGACTATTCACAACAGCCACCTTCCCATCAAGCACCTGTTGTTCCCGTCGAAGTTGTTCCTTCATTTGCCGAGCTTCTTGGATTGCCTTGGTGACAGCATCATGGTCATTTAAATAACCTGATAACGCGACAAAATGAAGGATATATTTTGTACGAAAGCATGGATAATTTAACCATAAAAATCACTTATATTTTCGGTAATGGCAAGTATCAGGCATATAAATAATTTCTCAATGAGATTTGTGTAAAGTTAACAAATGAATAATTGATGACTGATTTACACAGTATATATGAACATGGTACAAACATCTATAATAAAAATATAATACTGAAGTGAAATATGGCTGTTTCCAAATATCTGGAAAGAAGTTTAAAACATCATAGTTTATTTTTAGTTATTATCTAAATATTCTGTAGTGCATTAAAAAAAACTGTCTTTGATTTTTTTATCCACGTATTGTCTATAATTTCATTACATATGATCTAGGCATTGGATAATTATTTTAATTATTGACTCTCTCATAGTATTAGAAAGACTAATTTAGAGTTTATGTAAAGCACTATTAGGTTTGCTATATATGGAAGGAATAAAACATTAATTGACTGAAAGAAGAGAAACTTCCTCCCCCAATCCATTTATGGGGAAATAAACCACAGGAGGCAGTGGTTTGCTAAGTATACAAACTTATAATCATTAAGATGCTAAATCTGAAGCACAAAATGTAACCAGGCACCTGTGATTGCTTGATATGAAATTGTGGCTACTGGTAACTACAGTCACACTTAATTCACACTATTAATAAGATGTTCATACGTCCAGCTTAGTTTGCAGCTCCACAATCCAGAGTTTATAAAACAAAACAAAACCTGCCAAAGTATTTCTTGTAAAGAATAACAGGATTAAGGAGAAAAACTAGTTTTCAACATAATTTTTAATCTAACACTGGTCATTTATTTGATGCACATGATTATGATGATCTGTATGATCTTAGGGTAGAATACTGATGGGAAGAGATTGTTTTGCAAATATTTAAAGGAAAGCTAATAATCTATCATCTTACTCTCTCACTATCTTTTAACTAGGGCATAAAATGACATAAAATGAATCTGTAGTATGAAATTGCCCAGAAAAGGGACTTGTTTGTGACATGAGGCTAAATCTAACCAGATCCATTGGTGAATTGTGACAGATGGAGGGACTGTGAGACAGAAGGCAGGCACTAATCACACATAAAATGACCGGCTTGCCTCAACATGTTCCATGGATTCCAGCAAACTTTACACCCTAATCCATTTTTAGAACAAAAAACATCTGGGCCATAAATCCTCTAATCTGCCAAAACACGCTATTAAATCCCACGATTTGTTGAAAAACACTAAGATTAAAGAAAGGAAATATAAAATGGCTAACTGCCGTGTTAGGGAAGTGTTATTAATACTCTTTCTTTGTCTCAATTATGAATGTTCTGGTTCTAAAGAGCCTTGTCTAATCATGTCAGATTACACATCCTCCTCGTATTGCTAGACTCTTCTATCTGATCAGCTGATTGCCAAAAAACATAGAATATTTTCTTGCTGCTTAAAACATTTCTATTGAAGAAACTGATGTTAGATTAGTGCAGTGCTTCAGCGCTGGAAATGTTCTAAATGATCCATGCCCTCTTTTCCCCTATTAGTCCAGACTAGACCAAGTTCTCTGATTTCTTTGAGGCAGAAAGATAAGTTCCAGGGTAGGGGATAGAAAGCGCAAGCTTGAGAACTGCTATATAAGGTATTTTGCCTTCAAGAGACAAACTCATTGGAATTTATTTCAAAGATTAAAATAGATTCCTGGCATTATAAATACAATATGAATTGATGACAACTATTTAGACCTAGAGCATACCTTTAGGGTTAATATTTACTATAAAAGATGGTTGTATTTAACCCTATATTATCCTCAACATCCTGGCTTGGTTCTCCTGAACAACCTTCTTAATACAGTCTATTATTCTTGAACTTGTTCTGTTCATGAACAACACTACTCTAGAAAGAAATACAGCTCTTATGTCACAGTGATGGTTGCAGGATATGTTCACTTAGTAGGATTTTAAGACAATCAGCCTGATTTTTCTACCCTCGGACTGCTATTTAGGTACAAGCCAGCATCAGGCTTTTCTGTAGTCTATTTGATTTCTAGGTAGTTTGTTGAGCTTTACCAGAGTACAAATATATTTGAAAAGGTTTGGCACATGGAATTGAATGAAAGCATGAATTCTTTATGCTTTTTAGTGGCTGCCAAGATAACATTGTGTAGGAAAAATGATTAATATAGACACAAGAGGAATGTAAACTATTACACGGGTGAATAACTGACAGACCTATGTTGTACAATGGCCATTTCCAATTTGAGGTGTATATTTATCTGTGTGTGGATGAAAATGAGTATTCACATTAAAATTAACAATCTTGCTTTTAGAGACTCCTGGAGTTTAATTAAAATGCTATATGAAATTCTAACATTTGTGTCTCCTGTGTTAAATCACAAAATCATTTACATATTACAGAGTTGGATCTTAGTAGGATTGTTCACAGGTTCTTCACATTTTGTTCTTATCACAGTAACCAAAAGCCGAACTCCACAGACACCCTCTCTCAGCAAATGGCTTTGTCTCCGATTTTGGAAAGACCAGTAAGGACAAACTCTGACCTTCCTGTCGTCCCCTACTCCTACCCGATGCTACCTGTGAATTCATCTCCATTTAGGTCCAAATTTATCTCCTATTATAATGAATTGGTGGCACAGTGGTGAAGAGCTATGGCTGCAAACTGAAAGATCGGCAGTTCGAAACCCTGCCAGCTGCTCCTAGGAAATCTTATGGGGCAGTTCTACTCTGTCCTGTAGGGTTGCTATAAGTCGGAATCAACTCAAAGGAAACAGGTTTTATTATAATGAAAACATATTCTTACTTTAATTCAAGGCAAATCCCTAAACTCATGCTCTAGATTTTTAAATCTCTTCATCAATTATTAGGAGCCCTGGTGGCTGCTAACCAAAAAGTCAGCGCTTCGAACCCACCAGCTGCTCAGAGGGAGAAAGATACGGCAGTCTGCTTCCATAAAGATTATAGCCTTGGAAACCCTACGGGCAGCTCACTATGAGCTGGAATCCACTTGATGACAATGATTGATAAATTATTCCCTTTCTTGGTTATATCCTCTACCTGACTCTCTATGATCTCCACCATCTCAACTTGTAAGTATTTAAGGTTCTATCTTCTCATAAAACAAGCAAATGAAATCACTCCCTTGACTCTGTGTTGCCTTCTGTTTCCAACCCTTACTTTCCGACTTCTAAGCCAAACTTCTCAAAAACTATCTTATAGCCTCCCATTCTAGCCTCACCCAATAGAGTCTGGTTTCTGCTTCCCTTAGTTTTATAATTGCCGAATCCAAGGGACATTTTTCCACTCCTCGTAGAAAGATGGCCCCACTCCTTGTTATTGAAACTTCCTCCCTTCCTGTTTCTCATAACATTGGATCCTCTTTTCTCTCTGACTCCATCTTACTCTCCTTGCCTGGGATCGTTTCTTTACCTGCTCCTTAGATTGTGGTCACAGGTTTTAATCCTCTGGAAAAGCATGGGTTTCAAAGCTGGGCAAGCCTGAATTAAAATCCTAGCTTTGCCATTTACTAGCTATACAAATTGTATATGATTTTCAACCTTTCCTAAGTCTCATTTGTCTCATTGGTTAAATGGAGCTAATACTCGCTAGATAACACAAATGCTGTGAAGATTACAGAAAAAGAAATAGAAAGTAGGAAACTACCTTTGGCTTAAAACATGTCCTTAAAACTATAAGTAGGGGGTTTTCTCAAATACTGTAAGACATATATTGCCTGCCTCAAATCTGTCCTGATTTCCATATACACGAATCTAATAAATTTTTCTACTCAAATGTCCCATGAGTACCTGTAATGCCACGTCTAGCATGGAATTCGTCATCTTCCCACTGCCTCAATCTTTTCTTTCTGCATTCTGTATCTACTTCTAGTTGTCCATCCAGTCAACTCAGAATCATCTAAGATATCTCCTTCACTCTGTACATACAAAAAGCAACCAAGCCCTAATAGGGATGTCTCCTCCTTGGCTCTCCACCGTCTCAACTTGTAAATGCACGTCAAGTTTTATCTCTTATAAAACAAGCTTTAATTCTTCTCAATCTCATGGTCCCTGCTTTCGTTAAAGCCACCTCACATCTCAACTGGGCGCCTGCCATAACTTCCTAACTGGTTTCCCTATCTTTAGCCTCACACTCTTCAATTCATTTTCTGTTATGCTTCCAGAGAAATCACTCCAAAATATTCCAAAAAAAACCATTTTTTTGTATTGAGTCACTTTATCTGATTAAAATAGAAACTCATCTCTTGGTACCCTAGTGCTTTAAGTAGAATATCATAAAATAATGACTTGTAAAATTCTGGGAAAAAAAATTTCTTGTCCAAATAAGTGTGGGAAATACTAACTTAAACAAAGTTAAACAGGTTTCTTCATTGCATGAATTCTCAAAATCTATAATATGTTAATATACACTATGAATCTTTTAAGAGGAAACAGTGGTATGCAGCTTTTCCCAAATACATTGGTACAAGAAACTCTTTAATGTTCACTTAAATGTCATTATGGGATACATTCCCAACATTTAACGTGAAGTCTCTTCACGATATCAACTCAAGTTTTCCACATCACCTCCTGCCAGTCTCTCATGGGTCCTGTGCTTAAAATGTACAGAACTATTTCCTCTTGAAAGTAAGGCCTATTCCCACCCTCCTCTCTGCCCCTGAAGCTGTTCTCTTTTACTTAAATACTATTTCTTTCTGGTGGGTTTGGGAATTTATTCAAACGTCACCACTTCAGGGAGGAATTCCCTGACCCACCCCAGACAGACTCCTTGGTTAAAATAGTGCTTCCCATTTATATGTTCCTTTGAAACCTTGTAAATGTCTTTATTGTCCTATTGCCTTGCATTTTTGCTAAGTTTGTCTTTAACTCCAGTCTATGAACTACTTGAGGGCAGGTTTTTTTTGTTTGTTTGCTTGTTTGTTTTTCTTTCAATCTTTTATTCCTTTGGCCCACGG